TATTATTCATTAATGATCTTCATTATGCATCTAGTAAACTGTCCTTTATATTATTTGCTGATGACACAAATATGTTTTTGTCTGGTAAATCTGTTCAGCAACTGAATAGGGATTTGAAAACAGAATTGGAGAAGGTTTCATGCTGGTTTTATGCTAATAAATTAAAGGTCAACATGACTAAAACTAATTATATGGTGTTTAAAGGTAGAAATATCAATTTCGATGTTGATGAATTACATGTGCAATTAAATGATGAATATTTATCCAGAGTCTGTTCAACAAAATTTTTAGGAATATATGTAGATGAAGGCTTAAACTGGAAGACACATGTTAACCACATTGCCTCCAAGATTTCAAGTGCTATAGGTATTCTTTATGTTGTACATAAATTATTTCCTTTGCCAATCTTATGTAACCTTTATAATACATTGCTGCTTCCTTACTTGTCGTATGCAAATATTGTTTGGGGCAACTGCTCAGTAACCCTTCTAAATAGACTTTTAGTTCTTCAAAAGAAAGCCATACGCTTGATAACCAAATCTTCCTACCGAGCACATACTGCACCCCTATTTAAACGGATGAATATTTTAAATGTTAATTCTATATATATTATGCAGCTTGGTCAATTCATGTTCCAGTACAAACATAACAACTTGCCACCTGTCTTTGATGACCTTTTTATAATTAACTCTTCTATTCATTCATATGCTACAAGAAATACAAATAGTTTCCATATACCCATAGCTAGGACTTCTTTTTTTACAAAAACGGATACCCTTCAATGGACCTATGTTATGGAGTCATCTTCCACCTGACATCAAAAATTGTTCTTCATTGTATTCTTTTAAGGCTAAGTTAAGATTATTCCTGTTAACACTATAAACATGACAGACAATGAAAGCGGACAAAATATACAGTTCCTCAGGTAGACAAAGGGACATCCCTTCACTGCTATTATGTAAAAATGTGTAGAACAGGTGTCACATGCATATTCACCCGTTCTACACATTTTTACATAATAGCAGTGAAGGGATGTTCCTTTGTTTTCCTGAGGAACTGTATATTTTGTCCGCTTTCATTTTCTGTCATGTTCATAGTGTAAGTAACCCATCCTTTACAACATTCACATATAGGTAGATGCACCCCCCCCCCCCTGTCTTTGATATTTTTCTCCCTCTTCTTTCTTGTTATTGGTACCACCTCATAATTTTACCTTATATTTACTTTTAAGTTTTAATTGTATAATTTTTTTTAAATTATTGGGGGTAGTCCTCGACAAATCATTTTTGATTTTTGACTACCCCTTCCACATTTGCTGATTTGTTTCTTTTTAAAACATACATTGCTCCAACTGGAGTCTTTCTATATATATTGTACATGTTCTATTATTGTATTGTATGTATGTATTATACTCTATGTAGCTCCCTATGTTTTGCATTTGTGGAGAAATAAATTGAACTATTGAACTTTGAACTTATTTGTTCATCGTCTCTAAAATGCTTTTTGAATAAAGATAAAAAACTTTTTATTGTTAGGCTTCCTGGAAGAAGTTCAATTGTTGTTAAGAAATATTTTGATTGCACCCAGTAGACCCCGCTGGTTCCAAGGTTTTTGTCTGGCTTGTTTTAAATAACAAGATCGAATACATCATCATAATCTACTGGGTGCAAGCGAATACGTTCTTTCCAACAATGAGGTGCTATTCGATGTAGCGTTACATGTCAATCACATGGTAGGTTAAATTGGGTCAAGTTTGCTGTGCATGAGGATCGCCATTCATAAGAACCAATATTCATAAGGACGCTATCCATAACGCGCGACAAAATGAATAGCGGTCCTTTATGAAAAGCGGTACTTTTTTATAGGGACAGACCAAATTCTACGCTATTGAATTCCTGAGGTTTTAGTAGGGGTACATATTTAATATTTTCTTCATAGAATATGCACAATAGCTTTTTATGGTAGGCAAACTGTATGGCATTTTGGTGTGTGTGTGTGTGTGTGTGTACATTACCAATATGGAGTACAAGTAGGTGATTTTTCAACTCGGGAAAGAAAGCAAAAGTCAAATTATTCCCTCTCACGCTACTTCAAAAGTCCTAGACAGTCCTCATTGATCTCTGGTTCTTCTCCTTCACAAGTCATGCAAAGTACATTCACAGAAAAGCTAAAAAGACGATTAAAATAACCAAATTCTGTGAGCTAAAAACAAGAGCTGGCTGCCTATAAGGCGCTATCACACTAGTAGTGCCGTTTTGAGGGGCTCTAAAAGGGTTATTAATGCACTAGAAGTGTGATTTTTGCGAGCTGCATGCGTCTAATAGCACCAGAAGTGTAAAAAGGCTTACACTTAAAGTGTTTAAAGTAGCACTTGGACTGGTGTTGAATTATAGCACGTGTACAAGTGCTACTTTAGCACAATTTGGGCAGTCCATATGCGTGCCCTTACAGGTGCTGCCTCCAAATCTTGAGGTGCTTAAATTAGCACTTGATTTTTTAGAGTGTAACACAACTACTTATATTACTGTAAACAGTTTTTACCCACGACACATCCTGTTTAAGTTTTATCATTTCGCGACAAAGTAACCGTTATGAAGTCTACGCGAGCATCTCTAGCCAACGAAAACTACTTCATGGTCGATGACCTCACTAAAGATGATCCAACAGAAAAGCGAAAGCATGCTCAAGAAGTAAGTCGTCTTTATCAACAGGGGACGAAGCTAAAGTTCTCAGCGGGAAAATGGCGCCATATGAATGGAACCCCTTTTGATTTTACATCAGACGCCTGAAGGAGAAGTCAGATAGTAAATATATACCTATTCCTCCCGAAATTTTCGCATACTCGTTATAGGTCAGCTAATGCTCAAGGTCGTTAATTGCCATGAGCCATCTGTATATTTTTCATATCTTCTACATTTTGTACTTTCTAGGAGACAGTGATCTCATGAACATGTTGTATACTCATGAGACAGAAGTTCTCTCCTGTATATTTTTCATATCTTCTACATTTTGTACTTTCTAGGAGACTGTGATCTCATGAACATTTATATATTAATGAGACAAAAGTTCTCATGATGAACCTTTCTGTATATTTGTCATGTCTTCTACATTTTGTACTTTTCATGAGGCAGTGATTTTCATGAACATTTTGAATATTCATGAGACAAAACCTTTCATGTAATTTTCATGTACAACTGATGAACTCCATTTAATGAGACAATAATTGTCCATGAACATCCTGTATATTTGTTATATCTTTAACACAATATTAATTGTATAAGTACTTATCAGGTATATTCTACTCTTGTAATGATGATGAACGACTAATAATGTATTCTTTCATTACAGTTCATGAGACTGTGATTTGTAGAAGTCATTTCATATTTTCTATGTCTCTGTGTACCACATTGTACATCTCAAATTATTTTCTACTTCAGCAATGACTACATACTATTTCTGTACATTGACTAGTCTTGAGAAGTATTGCAGTTCCTAACTTATCATGTTTCTTTTAATGTTGCTCTTAATGTTTTTATTGTACAGAGAGGTACCTTCACCTACTCTAGCATAATTGTGTGTTTTTCCCCTCCCTCTCTCGCCTGTGTACACACAGTACAGTCCTGTGTCCACACCTGTTTTTGTTTTATTTCTTTTTAGATTTCCCCCCTTTTTCCTTCTTTGGCATGACTATATTTCTTGAAAATTCTCTCACAAACTCTTTAGCTGTCTTTCCTCAGAGTGCATGGAGTGTTTCAATATTTTGTGTCTATAATTGCCATAATTGTCATCCAACATTATATATGTACTATATCGTATCTTTAGACAGCATGCATTCAAGTAAAATCATGTACACAATATTTGTTGTCAATCCTGAATTTGCATGGCGAGTAATTCAATGCCTAGCGACATCACTGTCCTATTACGTAATCAAACCTTTTAATGTCAATCATGCCATTGTAATGTTGTACATAACTCATGGAATGAGAACTTGCTCATGTGTATAAACTGCTATTCTCGCCTGTTCCCTTTTCATCATATAGATGATTTGGAATCAATTATATCAGATCGGCACGCTCCCTTCAAAGATACCAATTTCAATCAGATTTAATCCAATTGTACTTGAAAGTGAGAGGCACAATAACAATGCAGATATCGACCCTGACAAAAAATATTTTGCATACTACGTTACGTCTACTTCTAATTACTATTAGGTGGTAGATTTTGTGAACAAAACTGTGATTACCAAAAATAATGATACGTTTTCGAATATACATTTCAACGTTAGCAGTATTTTTTAAAATTTTGATTCCTTAAAAAATTTCTTGAGTATTTTAATTTTCCAGTTTGATGTAACTGGCATCTCGGAGACTTGGTTAAGAGACGCTAGTCTGTCAATAAATATGGATGAACATACTTTTATCTGTATGAACAGAAACCATGGTCGTGGCGGGGTTGTTGGAATGTATATAGCGGACTCGCATAATTATTTCCTAAGAGATGACCTGACGCTTGATCCCGGCCCCCCCCCCACTCAGTGTTATTTAGGGTACGCATATGCGTGTTCCAACCGACCCCCCCCCCCTTTTCAGCAAAAGTCCGGTGTGTAAAGTCAATACGGCTCGACCTTTTTCTTTTGTTACGAAAAGGACATTTTGGCAACACGCATGCGGTCATTTTGAAACCTGAGTGGGGGGGGGGCCGGGCGCTTGATTCAGAAAAATGTGACTCCATTTTTATAGAAATAGTTCAAGAAAAGAGAAAGAATATTATAGTTGGTGTGGTATACAAACCCCCAAATATTCAGACCGATATTTTTTCTGAAGCACTGGACATTGTGTTCAACAAAATAACTAGCGACAAGAAAATGTGTTATGGAATGGGTGATTTTAATATCGATTTATTACAACATGATAAAAACAACTCGGTAAAATACTTTATCGATATAGTATTCAGTAACTCATGCTACTCTTTAATCAACAAACCTACACGAATTACGAAGTCATCTGCCACTTTAATAGATAATATACTTACAAATAACTTACTTTCATTTCATGATACTGGTCTATTGTATTGTGATGAATCCGATCACTTGCCTGTCTTTACTATTTCAAAGTTTAATGTTGCTAATGTCAAATCATCGAAAGTAAACATAGGTCACAGAATTATAAATCAGAAAAATATTGAGGCCTTAATTAGGAATTTGCACGAAGTCAACTGGAGGGATGTATATAATAATAATAAAAACTAGAAATTTAATTCGTCACGGAGACGTATAAGGTGGTCTGTCTTCAAGTCTTATAATAGATTATAATATTTACTATATTGAAAAAGGGATAAGTTATATAGACATGTACACAATGATGATTATGATGATGATGATCTTGATAGTAATGATTGTGATGATGATGATCATGATGATGTTGATGAGGATGATGATCACGATTATAAGCGTGATTCTGACATCTTATCGGAAAAATGAGGAGTGATATAGATGACATATAGTCTCAGCGACAACATACTAAAATTTGGGAGACAACTGTTAAATAACAACCGAGATACTGGTCAAAACACATTGTCATGCAGATTGATGTTTTGAAATAAGTGACCTCCCATAGACATAACACGCAAATAAGACAAATTATGCATTGTCGCCTTTAATCGAATATTTTACTATGATGACGTCATCTAAATGAAAAATAAATGTCATATTTCTGGTAGAGAATTAGCTCAGCTACAACATATCGAAAAATGGGAGAAAATGGATCACTGATAAGCGAGATAATCTCAATTAAACAAAGACAAAAATGACGTCATCAACAAAATACATTTTCTTTAGTTTAGATGCAAATATGGTGACTTTGTTTCACTTTGTACGAGTCAGGGTGGTATGAAATCATATCTCCAACTCATGCTTTCTCCAACCATGATATAAAAATTGGGGGTCGATGGACTATCTGAAGAGCTATTTCTATTTTTAAAATGGCATGTTTTTGATCAAATTTGCATTATATTGCCCATAGCAGCACGCGCGGAATTTGAACTTTGACGCACGCTCACGGCCTTATTAAAGGTCAAGAGTGACTGAAATTAATGTAAATTGTCAATTACGTCAAGAGGAATCCAAATCATGTAAACATTTTGAATTTGACGTTTTCCGCGCGCTGTGAGCGCGCGCAACGCGCGCGGGGACACGTACGGACAGAAAATTTTGAAATGCTTAAAATGACCTGATTCGTACTCTCGTTTAATAGTAAGATGATTTTGAGCATTTTGAAATTTTAACGCATGCGTACGCGCGCGTCATGACCTTTATGTGACCTTTGATGACATGACCTTTTGACCCTTGACCTGAAGTATATGTGATATGAATATGAATGACCTTTGCTTATGCATCATGAAGATATGATGGATAACGTGATTTCACAAAATGGCGCCTGGATGACGTCACGATGATTTGATGACCTTGAAAATGTTCATGTCACGTCTCATGACAATGACCTATGACTGTGCCAAATTTGAATAAAATTGACGAAACCGAACTTGAGTTATCTATGGCACAAAAAAGTGTAGGAAATAAAAATAAATAATAATAATAACTAGAAATTTAATTCGTCACGAAGACGAATAAGGTGGTCTGTCTTCATGTCTGATGGTAGATTATACTTTTTACTATATTGAGAAAGGTAGAAGTTATATAGACATGTAAAGAATGATGATGATGATGATGATCTTGATAGTAATGGTGATGACGATGATGACGATGATAATGATAATGTTAATGATATTCATGATCATGAGCATGATCCTGACATCTTATCACAAAAATGAGGGGTTATTTAGATAGCAAATAGTATCAGCTACAACATACTAAAATTTGGGAAAAAACTGTAGAATAAAAACCGAGATACTGGTCAAAACACATCGTCATGCAGATTCATGTTTTGAAAAAAGTGACCTCTCATAGACATAACACGCAAATATGACAAATTATGCATTGTCGCCTTTAATTGAATATTTAACTACGATGACGTCATCCAAATGAAAAATAAATGGCCTTTTCTGATAGAGAATTATCTCAGCTACAACATATCAAAATTTGGGAGAAAATCAATCTCCGATAAGTGAGATAATCTCATTTAAACAAAGACAAAAATGACGTCATCAACAAAATACATTTGTTTGAGTTTAGATGCCAATATGAAGACTTTGTTTCACTTTGTACGAGTCAGGGTGGTATGAAATCATATCTACAACTCATGCTCTTTCCAACCATGATATCAAACTTGGGGGTCGACGGACTATCTAAAGAGCTATTTCGATTTTTAAAATGGGATGTTTTTGCCCATATATGCTATGTATTACAAGAGCTCGCACGCACGGACATTATCTTAAACGGACGCTCATTTCGTTATTAATGGGCAGAAAAAGGTGAGCAATGTATCAAAATGCTTGAAAGAATGTGTCAGATATGATGACGGAAAAAAATTGGCGATTTCATGTTGCCAAATGCCAGGACACGCGAAAACGCACGCCCATGCGCGTGTGCGCGTTTTTTTGCAAAATGCTTAAAATGGCCTGAAACGTATGCAAAATGAATTTGAGACGATTTGAAGCATTTTTATTTTTTGCGCGCGCGCTAACGCGCGGACGTACGCATTCGCGCGCATTTTCTGACCTGAAACTGACCGGACGGAAATTGACCCTAATCATGATAAATATAAATGAGAAATGCCTTTCCGTTATGAAGATATGATCATGAGTAAAAAGTACCCCAAAAAACACAAAATGGCGCCTGGATGACGTCATGAAGACTTGATGACCATGAAAATGTTCCTGTCACGTCTTATGACAATGACCTATGACTGTGCCAAAATTGAACGAAATTGACTAAACTGATCGTGAGTTATCGTCGGAACAAAAAAGTGGGAACAATAAATAAAAATAAAGAATAAATAAATAAATAAATAAATAAAGAAGAAAGAAAATTCTGACGAAAACAATAGGTGATCTGTCGTTGACAGACCACCTAATAATAATAATAATAAAGAAAGAAAATTCTGACGAAAACAATAGGTGATCTGTCGTTGACAGACCACCTAATAATAATAAAGAAAGAAAATTCTGACGAAAACAATAGGTGATCTGTCGTTGACAGACCACCTAATAATAAAGAAAATTCTGACGAAAACAATAGGTGGTCTGTTGATAACAGACCACCTAATAAAGAAAGAAAATTCTGACGAAAACAATAGGTAGTCTGTCGAAGACAGACCACCTAATAATAATAAAGAAAATCCTTCAAAGTTCTAGAAAATGTGCAATTTCAACTTTCGATTGAAAATTCCGACATGATCTCAACATCTGATCAAAAAACAAAGTACACCGGTTTTGTAGCCCATGGTCTCAGCTATAACATACCAAAATTTGGGATGAAATAGAGCACGAATAAGCGAGATAGTGCTCAAAGATTAATGCCATGTAGAGTCACGATGTGAACGAAATTCACCTTCCATAGACAATACACGCAAATGAAGAAAATTCTGACATGTCGCCTTTAATTGAAATTTTCACCATGATGACGTCATCAAAATGGAAAACAATGGACACTGATCTTGTAGAAAATTGTCTCAGCTACAACATATCTAAGTTTGGAAGTAAATCAATCAATATTTACAGAGATACAATCAATTTGCCATACATATGATGACGTCATAATATGCAAATTCGTTTTTTGAGTTCCAAGGCCATTATGAGGATGTCACGATATATATAATGGCCAAATGAGACCTAAAATCATATTTCCAACTCATGTTCTATCCAAATATGAGAAAAAATTGGGGGTTTTGTGGACTTCCTAAAGAGCTATAATGGATTTTGTATAGGCACGTTTTTGCCCATATATGCTATGTATTACAAGATCACGCGCGTACGGACATGTATTTTAAACGGACGCTAATTCCGTCAATAATGGTCATGAAAAGCTAAACATGGTATCAAATTGTTCGGAAAAAGATAAGGAATACCCTCGTCAAAAAGACGTACTGAAAATTATTCTTCGTTTGGCCGCTACGAACGAAAACGCGCAAAAATGCGTGTTTTGCGTGATTTTTATGAAATGCGTAAAATGGCCTGAAACGTATCCAAAATGAATTTGAGGCGATTTGGAGCATTTTGAAATTTGCGCGCGCACTGACGCGCGGACGTACGCGTACGCGCGCGTTTTTTGACCTGAAATTGACCGGACTGATATTGACCTTGATCATGGTAAATATGAATGAGAAATGGCTTTCAGTTATGAAGTTATGATCATTTGAGATTTTCCAAAAAAAACACAAAATGGCGCCTGGATGACGTCATGAAGACTTGATGACCTCGAAAAGGTTCCTGTCACGTCTTATGGCAATGACCTATGACTGTGCCAAAATTGAAAGAAATTGGACGGTTCAATTTTGAGTTATCGTGCACACAAAAAAGTGGAAGAAATAAAAATAAAGAAATAAAGAAAGAAAATTCTGACGAAAACAATAGGTAGTCTGTCGAAGACAGACCACCTAATAATAATAATAATAATGATAATGGGTTCTTGTATAGTGCACATGTCAGTCAGATTTGACCCTCCTGGCGCTCCCGATTATTACCCTGGCTTTAGCACGGCTGCCATAATGCGCTTTAGCATTTCAAGGAATAAACTCCTACCAGGTATATGCTGCAGAAGATCCAAACGATAGTTATAATATTTCTCAAAAAAAAATTCGTGCATTGTATGATAAGCATTTTCTAATTGTATTAGAAAAAAACAAAAAACAAGAAATTAAAATGTTGGATGACGGATGGAATGTTACAGTCGATCCGTCATAAGAATAAATTATAAAAAATGTATTTACGTAACCCATCAGACCAAAATGCTTATGTGTATAAAAACTATCGTAACCTACTCACAGGATTAACTCGTAAAGCAAAATCTCAGTATTTCCATGATAAATTTGTACTTAATTAATCTAATGTAAATCGTACGTGGCAAACGATCAATTCACTACTTAACAAAAGTAAGTCAGCTGAGAATTCTGTATTTAATTATAACGGGGACATCGCTACAGAACCTGACATTATTTCGAACTCCTTTAATGACTTATTTACAAGCATTGGTTCATCTTTAGCAAATAAAATCCCAGGTACCCAAACGAATTATTGACTCTTTGTATTTATATCCTACTAGGGAAAACGAAATTTGTAATATTGTTAGTACTTTTGGAAACAAAAAAAGCTGTAGGTTTGGACGAACACAGTCCAAGAGTCATTAAACAGGTCATTATATACATCTGTAGACCACTATGCCATATATTCAACCTTTCATTATTAATCGGAGTTTTTCCAGATGAGCTAAAGAAAGCTAAAGTAACACCAGTGTTTAAATCTAGTGGCAAGCGTGAACTTCCTACCCTTCCGTATAAATTCAAATGAAATATTATATTTTTTTGGTTTACCCAATGAGGGACAATAACGAGAGATGAGATATAATTTAATGAAGTGACCATCGTTCAAAACACAACTACTTATCCCCTTATACAATAAATTTACCCAAGAGAAAAATGAATCCCCTAAACCGAACAATTTCAATATTTGAAATAAATATCTATGAGATACAAAGACGAAAGCTTTCTCAAAATCAACTGCACACAAAAACCCTTTTCCTTTTTCCCTATAATGCAAAGAATAAAATAACATATCATCTTTCAATCGTATAGCTTCCACAATATTTCTATCTTTTATATATCCAGCTTGATCATGATAAATTATTTCATTGAAAACATCTTTCATCCTCTTTGCTAGAACCTTAGAGATAAGTTTATAATCTATATTCAAAAGCGTGATGGGTCGATAATTTTGTTATATGGAGAGTATCTTTAGCTTTTTTCTCAATTAAGGTAATAACCCCTTGTTTGTGAGATGCCGTTAATTTACCCCTTTTCATATGTTTCATTCAATACTTTTACTAACAAATCACCCAAAGCTGGCTCAATTGTAAACCCAACATTTCCCAAAGTTTCATTCAATATCATTTCTTCTGAGACCTTCAAACATTCAAGTTTTAATAGTAAATTTACCTTCACAGATGTCCCCATTGTGTTCAATTAACTTTAAAATATCTTTTTTTTTAAAAGATAGTTTTTATTTGTTTCAGCCCTTAATGAATATAAATGTTTATAAAATAGTTTAATTTCCTTTGAAAGTTCCTCCTTATCTCTAGTAGTTTCCCAATTTTCTCGATACACTTTCCGACGTTTCCACATACTGCACAAACTAAAACCCACTTGAGCGCCATAATCCCCTCCTACCGTCCTCATGCCCATGCATCACTCTCACCCTTCTCTTTCTCTCTCTCTCTTCTCTCCCTTCCTCCCCCTCTCCCTCTGTTCCTCACTTTCCCCTTCTAGTCCTCTCTTCCTTTCCATCTCTCGCGCGCTTCTCCCCTCTCTCTTCTTCTTCCTCTTGAATAGCCTCCTCTCTCTCTGTCTTTCTTTCCTCCATTTCTCCCTCTTGTCAGGAGGAATTGATTTACTATTGAGTAAAGATACAGATTCATTTTTGAATTTACAAATCATATAAACATGTCACCTTCATAGGAAATTTAAAGATAGAAACTCACCTCTGATAAGCAAGATCCTCCTTGTACATACAGCGTCAGCCAAAGGAAGAGAATTGTATACGCCACGCCGATGCCTCTACAGATCATCTAACATGAGCCGAAAAACCGTTCAAAAATGTACTTGACGTTTTTTGCTGAATGCCTCTACAAAAGTTGAACCTCGTCCGTGAAGACTAGCAAACTGCTATTTGAACAAAATCATGGGTTGTCTGCAGGTATTTCCTCCAATTATGCGGCATTAATTGTTAAAACTCTAATCGACGCTATAATCTATTAGTTACAAAGTCGATACTGTATTCACCGACAGCACTGCATGAATGTATAATGTCACCCTCGTCCTCCGTTATTTTTTTCAATTTCAATTCGTTTTATTTATCCATTTAAAATAAAAAATCAATATACAAATCATGCATGTATGAAAATTATACAGTTTAAATGGTCAGGGTACCCCTAAAAGCCAAGGCTTGATGAATGGGGTACCCAAAACATAAAGAAATATACATACAATAAACATGAGATACAAAACAAACTTAATTTAAAAAAAAAAAAAAAAAAAAAAAAAAAAAAAAATGATGAGGTTATGAAAGCAGTAGCAATCGCTCATACTTTGGAAGGTGTTTATAGCATAGCGAGTTGTCGTTAAGCTCGGATGGTCATGACGAATGTTAAAGACCCACTAGAAGGGGATCTATTGAATGGATTCCATATTTCAATACGTATTTTCACGCCCCTAGTAAACTAACAACATCCCAAAGAACAATGAGAATGCACGAACCGTAACACGTGGGCGTCGTCCTCTATCAAATTGCTTTCATAGTAAATATTTCTATAGTAAAAAAAATATTTTGTTAGGTGGTCTGTCGTAGACAGATCACCTATTGATTTCGTCATAATTTTCTTTCTTTATTATTTATTTATTTATTTATTCTTTATTTTTATTTATTGTTCCAACTTTTTTGTTCCGAAGATAACTCAAGATCGGTTTAGTCAATTTCGATCAATTATGGCACAGTCATAGGTCATTGCCATAAGACCTGGCAGGAACATTTTCAAGGTCATCAAGTCTTCATGACGTCATCCAGGCGCCATTTCGTGTTTTGGGGGGTACTTTCGACTTTTGATCGTATCTTCATAACGGAGAGTCATTTCTTTTTCATATTTATCATGATTAAGGTAAATATCCATCCGGTCAATTTCAGGTCAAAAAACGCACGCACATGCGTACGACCGCGCGTCAACGCGCGTGCAAAATTTCAAAATGCTCGAAATCGTCTCAAATTCATTTTGCATACGTTTTAGGCCATTTTAAGCATTTTGCAAAAGAACGCGATCACGCGCATGCGCGCGCGTTTTCGCGCGTCATGATATTTTGCAACTTAGAATCGCCGAATTTTCTGAATCATCAAATTCGGCACATTTTTCAAAGCATTTTGATATCTTGTTCACCTGTTTGTGAACGTTAATAACGGAATGAGCGTCCGTTTAAGATACATGTACTTGCGTGTGAACTCTTGTAATACATAGCATATATTGGCAAAAACATGCCTATACAAAATCCATTGTAGCTCTTTAAGATGCCAGTTGACCCCTAATTTTATTTTCATATTTGGATAGAGTATGAATTGTAGATATGATTTCATGTCTCATTTGACCCTCAATGAACTCATGACGTCATCATAATGGCCTCTGAACTCAAAATTTTTATTTGCTTATTATGACGTCAGCATATTTTTAGAATATTGATTGTATCTCTGTAAATATTTATCGATTTTCTTCCAAATCTGGATATGTTCTAGCTGAGACAATTCCCTACGAGTGCATTTTTCACAATTTTTCATTTTGACAAAGGCATCATGGCGTATTTTTGCGATTAAAGGAGGCATGGCAATTTTTCACATTTTGCGTGTATTCTCTATAGGACATGACTTATTCTCAAAACCGGATTCTACATTCCCGTCTTTCGCGAGCAAAATCATCATGATCATCATTGTTTATATGTTTATATCATTTTTCCCATTCTTAAATCTATCATAAGAAGTGAAGACAGACCACCTAATTCGTCCCCATGACGAATTAAATTTCTAGTTCATTTTAGTTCTGGTTTTGGTTATAAACAATCTGCACCCAGGTCGAAAAACCGGTATAAACCAGTAGGCAACTGGCACCGGCGAAGCCAGGATTTCTCAATAGGGGGAGGGGGGTTGACGTGAAGGATCGACTAAGCAGGGGGAAGAAATCCGCATTACTACCACTCTTACATGCAGGCCCCGCTGAATGGTTTTCAAAGTAGGTTGGAGGAGGCTCAAGTATTTACGATCAGGTAGAGCGTAGTGTAAATTGGCGTGGGGTCTAGGGGCAAAGCCCCAAAAGGGAAAAGAGGCGGAGCCCCCGGCAGCTCAAGGGGTATGGGAATTTGATTACGGTCAGATAAGCATAGTTTGAACTGCCAAATCAACTGGTAATCATCTAATGATTTCCAACTGGTGAAAGCAATGTGTAGGCTAGCCTCTTGTCGATGGCCCTGGTGCTGTTGGAGTCCGTAAATTCTGACGAGCGAAGCGAGCCAGAAACAAGCGCCTCGTTTCTGGGTCGCTGCGCTCGCCAGAACTTACGGACTCCAACAGCGCCAGGGCCATCGACAAGAGACTACGTGTAGGCCTGATCATCTACTGGTTTTCAACTGGTAATCATCGTCTGGTTTTCAACTGATAATCATCTACTGGTTTTCAACTGGTAAAGCAACTGGCAATCAGTTACTGGTTTTCAACTGGTAAAGAAACTGATAATCATCTACTGGTTTTTAACTGGTAAATCAACTGGTAATCATCTAGTGGTTTTCAACTGGTAAATCAACTGATAATATAAAATAGTCTGAGATGTCAACTGTTTTTTTCAACTGGTCCCATTTGGTGGTGTGTCAATTTCCTTATTAAAAACCAGTTTAATATACTGGTTTCAACTGGTTAGTTGACTTTTTAACTGGAACCTGTTGACCAGTTGGATACTGGTCCCCGTTAAACAGGTCTTCGACCGGCAGGCGCACCGGAAGTAGTTTGGGATTGTGGGGGGGGGGGGGGGCAAACATTCCAGGGGGCTCACCTTGCAGGGGCAGTGACGTAATGAGAAAAAAAAACGTTAGGAAGGGGGGGGCAGACGAAAAATCTGCATCACCACCAGTCTTACACGTTACATGCAGGTCCCGCGGAACGTTTTTCGAATGGGAGTATTAACGATCAGGTAGAGCGTAAATTGGCGGGGGGTCCAGGGCATGAGCCTCGGCAGGGGGTCAAGGGGTTGAGC